AAATTGATCAACAATGAGAATATGTTGGCTTGTAATTTGGGCCCGCAATATAATAAGTCATTTAATGACATATCAGTTCCCGAGGGCGCACTAGCATCGAATACCACCCTAACTGGAGTCGATGTACTATCTGGTTTGAAAACGGCATGATGAGGTATATAATAGAAAGGACCTGTGCCACAATCCTCATTCACCCGTTTCATATGAGCCTGCGTTATGAAATCTTTCATCACCTCATTGTAAGCTACACGTAATTCTGGAATTTTAATTAATTTTCTTTCTAAAGATATCAATCGTGACTGTGCTGAATTTTTTGAATGACCTAAGTTTTTTGGAGACATTTTAAATGGTAGTGCCACTGTAAAACGCCCCGTAGCGTCCCTCGTAAATGTATTTACAAAAATTTTTTCGCAAGCCTCTGCCTCCCCGTTAGGCAGGGCCCTTTTAGGTACTTGCTCTATCTCCCAGAATCTTTGAACAAGGTGATCTATCGACAGATCATCTGTGACTGTTACAAAACTATGAACCTCATTGTTTCTAGTCATTGTTGGCACTTGGCCCATAACGACGTATCCGAACGTAGTTTGGACCGCCACTGGAGAACCCGCTGTGCTCCTTATCCGATCTGAACCAATCAACTCGAGAAATAGTTCCGCCCCGATTATTCCATCTATTTCCCTCGGTTCGAAATATTCATCATCCGCCAACGGCACTTCTGCAAATTTCGGAAAAGCAGTATAATCTACCCTCACCCGTGGCAACTTTCCCGAAATCTTGTCCACTACTAACATTCTCAATGAATATTCGGGTTCCGGATTGTGTCTTGATGAAATGATTAAATTCACCGCCCCCCGCACCTCTTGCCTATTTGATCCGAGCCCCTGTACAGAAGTATTAAATTTATATGGTTTGATGCCTAATCTTCTACAACATTTTTTAGTGAGCAAATGTGCCTGACTCCCACAATCTAATAAAAATCTAGCCAATTGATTTTTCGAAGAGCTATTTACCACATTTACTAACGCAGTGGATAATAAAATCGTACTCTCGTTTTCCCCGCTCGATTCTTCCGTTGCACACAAACTATTTACACCCGCTTCCACTGACTCCGTATTTACCACAGTATTGCTCGTATCCCGTCTGGAAGATCCCGATTCCATCCCGGACACAGGCTCTATTCTTACCTCAGTTCTCCCGGTATGCAACAATACATGATGTTTCCTAGAACATTCTGCGCATGTCCGGTCCGACGGACAAGAACGCACCCCATGATTTGGCGATAAACAATTGTAGCACCAATTGTTGTCTCTAACCGCTTCATATCTTTTGGATGGGCTGAGATGTTTGAACTTATCACAGCGATATAATAAATGCCACCCCTTATGACAAAATTGACAAGAATCAGATTTGCTAGATGTGACTTTAGTATTATTTACGTGAAAGGCCTTGACTGCCCTGAACTTCTGTACTTCATTATGATTAGAATAACTAAATTTACCACTCGGCTTACTGTTACTCGATCCCGAGCCCGCGGCTTTATTTAAATTTAAAATCTCACTCTGTTCTTTAACGAATTTGATCATCTCATCATATGTAGGAATGTCCGCATCTCGTCTAGACATTTCAAATGCCTTAACCGTATCCGCATCAAGCTTAGACATTGCGTGAAAAGTTAACATGAAATCGGCCAAATCGTCAATCTCTAACTTCTTCAATGCCTTCACTGCAGAATCTACCTTTTCTAAAAATGCGTTCAAGTTTTTCGAAGACTCCCCATGCATAGGTTTGAATTCTATAATTTGACTAAAGTAACTGTTCGCTAATGCCCGTTTATCCTGATATTTCTCTAACAGCGCATCCCATATTATCTCATAATTCTCTCCCGTAGGAGCCACCCCTGAACAAACACTCAAGGCTGGTCCCTTCAGTCTGCCCACTAAATAATGCATCTTGTCTGAATCAGTTAAGTTATCGTTCTCGTGTATCAAGTTTTTAAATACCGAATAAAATGTCTCCCATTCTCGAATATCCCCAAAAAACTCCGGTAGTTCAATTTTTGGGAGACTAGGCAAACTCCGTGTAACCGTGGTGAGACCGCCAATCGGGGTTAATGGAGTAGTATTGGGGTTTGGCTGACTCTGATTCGCTATTCTCCGTTTTTGGATTTCCAAATTATTAGCCACCGTTTCAATATTACAGCACATCTCATTTATCGTTTGGAGAATTGCATATGTCGGGTTATATGCAGGGTCAATTTCAAAACTGGTTACATGTATTTCATCTATAACTACCAATAACTCTGACCGAGTGGTCTCTAAACGTTTAAATAGTGTTAAAAACCTTTCTTGTGTATCCTCACTCGTAAGATTTCTCGACAAATCTAGAAGGTTTTGGATAATCAGAAACAAAGACTCCTTTTTTGCAATCAGCATTTTTAGCCTACGTTCCGCCCCTGTACCTCTTGGCATTGTAACAAATTCGAGTCCCTTATAATACCTACTGGTTGGTATGTGCGGCAATTAAAAAACCACCAATAACCACGAAGACAACCAAAACAAAATTCCAAAACTACCTTCCTTATTCGTCCTATAGATATCACCTGCTCCTAATAGTCAATTCAACTAGCTTACTGAGAATGTAGTAATTCCAGCCCCAACATAATAAATTATATTCATAGATAGTTCATCTAAAAATTAAATGAAATAAATTCGAGTTATTTAACCAAAAGTCAGTCTGGCACCAAAACACTTCTGTGTGACTCGCTCCGTATTAAACATCAATAAGGCAACAATGCAAAGTTTCTCATGACAACACAATACTTCCTACTCTTTCCTACTTGAAATTCCGACATTTACCGATTCAAGAAAATACTCTATTTCCAAACTGCTCAATTACCGCCGACAGTCCCCGTTTCTTTCTTAAGTTTTTTACGTTCGTTCCACACCGAACACAAAAACAACTCCGTTATCGCCTTCCAACCGCTGGACGCCTCAACAACAACAACGAAAACTCGATCTCGAAAATTTAACCTGCCGCCGAAACCGATTGAAATCCCGCCTAACAACTAAACCACAAATTTGTCTAATCTGGCTCGAAACAGGACCAATTTTTATGTATAGAAATTACCGAAAAGTTACCCTTTTAATGGACTGTATAGGTTTTTGAATTTTACTTACATGAAGTGTAAATTCGTAATGAATTTGTCTCCTGCTGCTATTCCACCGGTCTCATGTCATGCTGTATGGGTGGCAGGTAGTGTTAGGCCGAAGAAAGGAGGGAAAGGAAAAGAAAGGAAGAAAACTCCACTTTTCTTGTTGATTAGCTCACTATGAAAATACTACTAAATCCAACTTTGCGCCGATTTTGTTGCTTCATTGACCCGATTCCGATTGTCAAATTCGAATAATGTCTTCGGTTGTAAGTACCGTCTTCAACTGAACTACCGAAAAACCTGTAAAACTGACTTGTCGATTCGCTGAACCCGGAGACCCCTTTTTTCCTGTTGAACGCATTTCGCAACTCTGCATCGTTGCCACACTGTGTATAAATTATCGACTTTAGGTATTAGTCCAAACAGTAATTCATGGTCATCTGAATTCTTGCTGGTAGCACACCATAAGAACAATCAAAACAAAGATCCTTTCTTGACAGTTTGTTGTTCTGAGAATGTATGTAATTTTGGAAAACGTCAAAACGTGATACTAGAAAATGTAAAGTTTTGTTTCTGACAATTTGCTTGGAATGTGACGATGCATTTCTCAAACATTGAGCTGAATGATATGGTTCTTATGTCGGGTCGTTATTGTGCGGGGCCCATGCGACTCCTCGAAGGACACGAAATTGTAGCGATGCAAGGAGGTGGAAAGAAGGGTGTAAAGGATTTTTCAGTAAAAGAACTTCCAACCGTGAGGTGTTAAGTTATACACTATTCGAGCTTATGTGTAGAAATCTTGGGTGAGTCCATTTTAAACTTTTTGTATTATCTTTCTGAAATTCAAGACCAGGGTTAACTTCTTCCCCATGTACATTTTCTCGATTATACATTTTATTTAATGTCTCCTAATTTTCATGTAGAGTGGCAACGTCGCTTCGTTCATCACGGTCGACTGCGGATCGCAAACGATAGTTGTGACAGAAGTAGAAATCTGGGCGGAAAAAGGGTATTTTGCCCCAAATCTATTTTGATCCTAATAATATTTTTAATAGTGCTATTCGGTAGTATACCTCAAGCTTTCTTAGTGTTTAAAATATATGCACTTATTTTAAAATCAGCCTGTATATTGAAATAATACTCCTATTTTTATTTTATAGAAACGAGGAGAGAAATTCCCAAATAATCGAGTAAAATGAATGTAGGTACCACTTCCTCGATTAACCTACAAACAGTATTAAAAGGAAAAACTGTTAGAGATTTAATGAAGGTTGAACTTCTTGGACTCCCACCAGCAAACAAAATATCCGAAAACAAAAAAAAAGTCTCCGCTCTATGTTGCCCTATCTGAGTAATCCACTTCACCAAGATTTTTACAAAGAACTTCTAGGCATTCCAATGGATTAGCAATGATTTGTGATGTTATTTTGTTAAGAACATGTATAATTTTGGTACCTCGTTCTTTTGACATTTTTGTTATTATTGAGATCAATGTCAGTTCGACTATTGTCTATATCATTATTTTTGAATTTGAAAAACCACAAATTTTGTCAGCAATACTTCCTGATCCTATTTTGTTAAAGAAGAAATGTGGCACTCACCTCGTTCCTATTTTTTTTAAGAAATAATTTTTATTTGGTTTTTGGAATTGGTTTTCCGTTGATCTTTCATACGATTTTTGATGCTGATAAACGAAAAAAACAAATATCAACGTTTTTATTACTTTTTTCTTAAATATCTCGAAACTTTATTTTTGGCACTTAGCACCTTTGTTACTTCCACTCTTCAATTGCATTAAAATGTTCCACTGTAACAGACCAATAATTAGTGTTCTCGCTTATCTTTCCAGCTGCACTCTTCAAACAACCTGCTGGGTCGCGAGTGGTGGTTCTCGATGTTCCTGTACTTTGAGGGGAACGTAGGGGGGCCCCTACCGCGCCAGTTCGACTGGCCCCTACCGTGGCCTCGTAGGTGGCATCTGAAGAGTCGCGCCAGTTAGTGAACATCGCTTGGTACGGTACGGTAGGAGGACGCTGTCGGGAATTACTATATATATTATGTGATATCGAATAATGTGTAATATGCCTTAATGATTGCAAAATTTTGTGCTCTTTATACAGGGTGTCCGGAAAGGTGGTGATAAGGCTGATAGAGGGAGCCAAAATAATGTTAGTACTTCATATAAAAATATTCTCTATCGCACTTCGTTACGGCGTTATTGACCTTGAAAGTTTCTGCAAGTCCATACATAAGGCATACTCATTATTACTAAACTCATCCATGGTGTTACCAATTGGCATATAAAACGACATAAATCACTATTTACTACTACTATGATTTCTCTATGTCACAACAAGCGAGACGTTGATTCTAATTTCCCCGCTAGATGGTGATGCTGCTATTGTTGCTGTGACGAGTGGAAATAAAATGGCAAATGACATTTTAGGTACGCAGAACATATGTAACAGTGTGATTATTCAACTCTGAATTCGAAAAACCTGCGACAATTTCAAAACTGACAGATATAATAATTGTGCAATGTCGCCATCTATCAGAAGATCGACGGAACCATTGCTCTCGCTGTTCCAAAGTTTCAAATAAGTTGAAAAAAGATGGCTTTAAAAATGTCTTCACTATTCGTGCAGATTGAGCGAGGGGCAAGATAATATTACCACAATGACAACGCTATTGTACCCATCAGAAAATGTTTGGGTCTAATTTTTTGATTTCAATACCTAATATTTCTAGTACCTTAGGTACTTACCTAATTCTGATGGAATTTGAACAAAAAACATAACAAGATTTCTTGTAATAATTTAGTTAAATAACCTGCGATAACTCCATTGCTCAAGTTTAAAGAAACATATAACCTTACTTACCGTCGACACACCAAAGTGGAGTTTGTATGATGAACATTTTCACAATACAGGCACTGGCGAACCATAATAGACCTAATAATTGTATTTATGAAGCTTTTTAACAAGAAAACACTGAAAATCAATTGAAACACGAAAAAATCAAAATGGTAACAAACACAGCACACCAACACTGTAACGGCGGATTTCGACATACGCGGATGACTGAAAAAAATATGCCTATACATTATAATTCTATGTAAAGGTGAAATCAGGAAAATTTAAATTATTTCAATAGCAGAATTCACATATTTCAATTAAGTAACAAACACAGAATTGCTATACATAAAAAATTTTCATCATATAACTAATATATGATAAATGCTTCCGTCGTTCACAAACACTTGCGTAGATCTAGGGCAATCCGCAAAAATTTGTCATCATCGTTTTCTGATTGGAACAAAATGTGAACAATTTCGTCTACCCTCTTTTTGTATGCCTATGGTGTTACCACAGTATTTAATACTGTCCAAATAATCAGATGTCAATTTTGACAATGCCTGCAATTACCATGATGTTATTGAATAAATAGAGCTATTATCACCTTTGAAATGGTGTGAAGGTATGTTATTAAAATGCGATTTCCTCTAGAACACTACAAGATATCGATTTAAATAAAGTATACTAATTTTGTAGTGAAAAGATGAAGGAATCAAACGGCGGCGGGAAAATGTCAAATTTGTAACATCTGTCAAAAATGCCTATATTAAACGGAAATTCGTACCATCCTGTATAAAACAATCACTGTATAGCCGTTTACATATCAAAAGGAGCATTATGCTGCTATTCTGCCGACCATATATGTAACTTGAATATTTATGTTAGTTATGTAGGATACAGACTCTGTAACAGACATACTTACAGATTCTGTTAATTTAACAGAGAATGGTATTCTGCCAAACACTCAAGCCCGTGTAGGAATTCACACCTGTCCTCTTACTGAATATTGATAGATGGCAAACTTCTTAGCTACTCATTAACCTCACATTTCATGATTGGTTTTGATAGATTCAAAACAAAATGGATATTTCAGAATAGTAATTATCTATATCAATTATTGTACCATAGACTAATTGTCCTTTTTATGGGCCTATAATTCTTAAATTAGACTGATAATATTATTAATGAGTAACAATTTTCATTCCTTATAGCTTCCAGTTTCTTCTAGAAAGATGGATCCAAAGATATATGAAGATTTCTTATAACATCCGAAATATTGCATACTATGTAATGTCATTTTATAGAAATATATTAAAATCGCACTGGCAGAATACAGATTTCCTTACATTCTATAAATGTGGAATTATACATATTTTCTGTACTGGTGTGCAGAATAGCAGCATTAGTATGAGTTAATTTGTTTGCCCGAATTTCATTGATACCATGACTACCTTTTAAAAGTTAAACATGAAATATTTTTATATTGAAATTTTTTTAAATCAAACTTTCAAGGTCTATATAACTTTGTAACGAGTGGTGATAAAGTTTTTTTTATATGAAGTACCAACATTATTTTGGTTCTCTCTATCAGCTCCCTCATTTACGACATGACTAAATGTTGAGTTTCGCTGACAGGTGGTTTTTTGAAATTTTGGGATTTTTATATGGATATTTTTTGTATTAACTGTTTTTTCAACTAACAGAGATTCGTGTTTTAGTGGATGCCGACTAAAAAAAAACAGCGTGTCTCTTCTTTGAAATGATATTTCTGTGTAACGTGAATTTAGGTGCTAACATAGTTTTATACCATAGGAGTTCTGTGAAAGTATTTTTATAAATGTTGATGATCATTATTTCATTTATAATGAAAGATTTAGATTGCTATCGTGCTGTTATCGATCGTTAAAAAAAATGATAATTTGCATTTTGAATGATTACCTGGTTGAAATTAAGATCTAGCTGATTTATAAAAATTATACAGGTTGTTCATAACATGAATTTGAAATAGGTGATTTGAGTTCACTTCAATGCCCCCTAGTGCAGGTTAAAGTATGTCTCTATTGTTATACTTCATTGTTTGAATTCACTAATTCATATCTTCTTGCCACAAAATGAAATAACTCGGCATAACCAAAAACGTATTGCTTAGAGGTATCTAAAATGGTATTGAGTACAGTACGTCAACTAATAAGACATACAAATTATCAATTCTTAATGATATTTCAATGATTTTATTTTATTTACCGAGATACACAGATGATCTTGCATTACAGCAGTATATATGGCTGAGCGATACATTTTCTCCGTCCACCATCTCAAAAACGGTTGAGCTCATGAAAAAAATAATGGGATAAAATTTGTCGCAAAGTTCATGTTCTACAATTTTTATAACAGGTTATTGCAGCTATAGAAACATAGATAATCGCAAAATACCGAATTTTGTGACGTATGAGCTTCAATAACTTAGGACGCAGACACGAGATTTTATGAGACTTCTGAGACAACTTTTAGAACATCAAAATGAAGGTGTATACGAGTTTCCAGCTTATTATCTCTCAGGTTGACCCCCTGTTTTCTTGAATGACTGAGTAACACTCACCTAGAATGCCAATGTATGAAAATTTATTGACTTGAATTGATTTGGCGCTCGTGCACTTCTAAGCTTGCGCAGTATGCAACAATAATACCGCGTTATTTCAAATGAGGTCATGACTGGCCTCCAAAAGTTGGTTTTTGGTTTTTTATCAACATACAAACGTTCAATTTCTTCGACTCATACAGAAATGCGTAGTTCCTAATATATTGAGAACCTTCGAATATAATAAATGATGGAAGGTAATGAAACACAATAATTAAATGGTTAAATCACATAAAACATTTTCGATTTGGCGTTGATGCTGTCGCAAATGCCCAAACTCAGAAGTAAACGTACCTATCTCTAGTGTGTAATGTTGTTTTCACGCATCCATATGTATTGGTATTCTAGGTGAGTATTTAATTCTGTGGGTCTAAGTTTTGCACAGACATGGACCAAAAGCGTTTCAATCAACAGAGTGAATAAATATTAATATCTGGACAACATATATAACTACTTAGAAATCATCATGTTCAGTTTTGTATTCAAATATGCTTTTCCAAATACAGTTGATCTTTTGAATTAACTTAACGCTTCAAAATACAAATGATATTCTCTGAAATTCAAGCATCAATTTGAAAATTGAAATAACGCTTTTGGTAATTCAAAAGGCTAATTTGATTTTAGAGGCCTGAGTGCAAGGGTCTTTGCATCCACCCACCCGTCCAGAGTAAAAGAAGAAAAATACTAAGTAATTTGAAATACAATTTATAAATACTTCATGAAATGAACTAGCGTTTTTTGAAAAACAAATGATAAACTGTGAAAATGAAGTAACTATTTGGAAATACAATTGATACTAATACTTGATGAGCTACAATTGGAAAGGTGTTGTTCCTTGGAATAATAAACTGATCCTCAAAGAATCTTTTAAACGTGTTGATAAATATGATGAAGAATAGGGATGTTAAGAATTTGAGCAAGGAGAAGAAATTCAAAATTATTTAAAATAGTACAAGTTAGGCAATAAATGATAGCCATGCATGAGAAAAATACTCAGCGCTGGTGTATCTTTGAAAAAGAGCTCTTTATTTTGTGTTCAGTATGAGAATATCATAAATGTTATTGATAGGATGGCAAGAAAGCTATGTAATTATTTATTCCTGCTGAAAGCACATTGAAATTTAGTAATCATGAGTTTTGTCAGTATCACCCAAACTTCAATATTAGCGCCAGAAAAATAAAAAAGTCAGTTTTTTCGAAACAACTTGTAAACACAAAATCTTATAGAGGATTCTATGTGATATTTTTTTAGTCATTCCATATACACTGGCCCTCCTTATCTTGGACACACTCTAGTAAGAGAATAATTATTTGTGAGTATCTTTTGTAGTAACGTTCAATATCCATTGAGCATATCTAAATCTTTCATTGATCTAAAATATGATTGAATACCCACTTCTCTATTTTCGGATCGCGGCTTTATGAAATGCTTATCAATGTATTCTATTTTTTCTATCTTTAATCCATTTTGCGAAAAAAGTTTGAGCAATCTATCAATCACTGTTGAAACTTTATTTTCCTTAGAAAATCATGACTCCTTTCGAAGTAATTATTTTAGCATATCATACATAGAAATTGAATAACTTTTTGGAATCTCAAAGTCTGATGGATTTTAGTTATAGAAAGTGATTGTGGTGAACGTTTCACATTTGATAAAGTTACTGGGGGTAGCTATTAAAAACTGTAATGTGAAGGTTCTTTCGACTTTCCATCCTCTTTAACTATCAAATGTCAAATCTGCGTCTCGCTGAATTTCTATTTCGATAATCTTCTGAGCTGTTCATTATCGTGAATGAAAGAAAAAGAATTCACTTCCTTTTCCATCATTTCTGTTTTAGATGTCATATATCATAAAACATAATTATACTCTAGTAAATATGTCATTGACAACATTTTAGCGCCATCATATGCAGACAGGAATGCGTTCCATCTAGATAAAAATAGTCATTGAATGGGCTACTAGACTGGTAGTCAATATGTTGCATTCAATTTCTCCACTGTATCAATACGGACCTGAAATAATTTTTGCAACACTTATGCGTTTTTGATGTAAATAATGTGTCTATGTGTTGTACGAAATTGTTGAATTCCAAAAAATGTGCCGTCATGGCCGCCATTCGCCCATGTTCTGGGATACTTCGGATATATAGTAACTAATGTCAGTTGTTATGATGTTTTATTATTGGTCAGATAATCTTCTATTTCCACTCATAAAGCAAGGTTGTCAAATCACCAACTATATTCAAGTTATTAAAAAGTTGTTGTAGCTCTATCCTCGAGTAAAACTACATCCAAGTTGAATATTTCATTTGATCTAATAGAAGGAACCCATGATATTATGTTAATTATTAATTTGTGATTTTTTCGAGCAATCAGCTTGTCAAAATATTTCTTGTACTCCATAACAAAATGTTGGCTATAGAGACTTGGCAATGCTGTGCTGAATGCTGAGAACTGACAAGACAACGCCCACAATCCTGTCTTGTCACGTTTACCGGATCAAATGTCCCCTAATGCATATACTTATTTCTAACACAAATTCATCACTATCAATGAGACAACATTTGAGAGAAACAATTTAGAAAGATGGAAGAGAAGAGAAATTTCTTTCGTTCACGACAGTTCAAACAGCTCAATCATTGTAGTTTCTGGGGCAAAATTTTTATTGT